TGATCACCAATGATGCATGAAGTGGTAGGTGAACCGGGGTCCTTAAACTTTGGAAGAGTGTTATGCTGCAAAATTAAGCTTACTTGCTCGGTTAAGACCACTTTCCTAGGTGCTTGGCTTTTGTTCTTCCTCTTTTGGGTGCATAAGTCTTTTAAGAACTTGGCATAAGCCAGAATTTGCTTGATTGCATCCAAAAGTAGAAAATTGACTTTCACTTGCCTAAACACATCCATGATTTCATTTATTTTGGCCTTTTGCTTGTCATTTGAAATAGATCCTTTTAAGGCATCCGGAAATGGAGCTTTTGGTTCAAAAACTTTTTCAGAAATTTTCTTTGAAGTCTCTTCAACACAAAAAGTTTTCAAATCATTTTGCAAATCTTTCTTTTCGAAGTCACTTTTCAACACATTCTCATTTGAAAGATCATGCATATGCAATGAAGGAAGAATATGATGTGAAACGGGACGGGTGTCAACTTGTGGTTGCACTGGTTCACTCTCTTCATTGGACATACACACTTGGTTGTCCACAATCTTCCCACTTCTCAAGGTAATCACCGCGTTGACATGTAATATTGGTACCTCTTTTATGAGAATGAGCTTAATGTTTGTGGGTATCATTTCTGGAAACCCTCACGAGACTTCACTCGTCCACTAGGGGTAACCTAGGGGTTTAAAAGGTTTGTTGCATATGCTAAACGCAATCATGTTCCACGCGAAAGTGGCGTTATCCATTTATTGCTTTCTAGTTTATAGTTGTATAGTTGTTCATTTCATTCCTTTACTTTGTAGTTCATTGTTAGGGACTACCATTATTTAAGTTTGGGGGTGTGATGAATACTGAAAAGTGTGCGTTTAAACCCTTTAAGCTTGAGCATTCTAAAACTTTTATCTATCTTATTTCCCCGTTTTATTCTAATTTCGTGTTATTGCCCTTTTCAGGTATTTATCCAAAAAATAAGTCAATTCAGCCAAATAAGAGCATTAAAGAAGTTAATTCAAGCTGAATGGAAGAAAGGAGCAAAGTGGGAGCAAAATGAAGAAAAGTGTGAAAATTCAGCATGTTCGATCGATTTCAGCATTTCTTCGATCGATCGAAAATTCATCGATCTAAGCAGTTCAAAATAGATCCAAGCCTTTGTCCTTATCTAAAAGAATCCAATAAGTTCGATCGATCCAATATTTCCCAGATCGATCAAAATGACTTGATCTTATCCACACCTAGCACCCACCTACCACTTTTGTCTTCTTCCCAAAAATATCCCAAAATATCTCTGAGATTTGTCTTTATTCAAAATGGCGCCGCTAAGGATGATCGATCTCTGCAGCATTCGATAGATCTCAGCCAAGTTCGATCGATCTCAACACAAATCGATCGATCAAACTTCCTCAAGTCCCAAAAAAAGACAAATTCCAGCTTATTAAAAGTTGGCTCATGGTGCAATCATTGGAGGGACCTTGATGCACAAATCTAGACCATTGGTGTGACATTTGACCTACCTATATAAGGATTGAGAGCCACTTTTAGAGTATAATTCATGTAGGTTAGAGGTTATTTATAATATAATTTTCTTATATCCTGGAGAGGAGGCTAGAGATTAGAGAGCTTTACACATTTTGGGAGTTCTTCCATTCTTCTTGGGTTTCCATCGAGAAGGAGGTCATTCCTACCATGGAGATAGCCCTTGAAGGTTGGATGACTACTTCAATGAGTGGCTAGACATCTACTTGGGGCTAGAGTAGCCCCTAAGTTTGCTTCTTAGACTTAGTTCTTTGTATATTTTTGGGGATTTATTTGTAACAATGTTTTGATCTTAGATTTATATATATATCTTGTGGTTTCTACTTGATGTGTATGGATTAATGCTTTCAATTGATTATCTACTTCTAACCATATGTCTATGTATGCTAGAATGGATGATTCATGTGTTTTTCTCTAGATTTAGTGGAATTTATGCATGTCTATGTGTATAGATGAAGTTAATCTAAAGATGGTCAAAATATAGAGCTTAATTGAACACTCTTGCAATTTATTTGATGGTTCACACTTATTTCTTGATGGATTATACCACACCTTTAGCTTACTTAGTTTAATTTCATGTCTTTAGTGTAGATGTAGTGTAGTTGCTTTAAATTCATAGATAGGTGGACAATCTACTCTTGTTCCTTGCTGTTCCATACTTATGAATGCACCAGGTGTATGTTTCTAGATAGTTGTGTGTGCATAAATTGTAGTTTTATTGAATGGATTTTGGTTTCATTTGATAGGTTGTGTTTTCCATTTGATTTGGCTTGGCAATCTATACTTATTTTCCATCCATGCCTAGTTTCAATTAATGTCACACACACACACAAGTTATAAGTCAATTTCCCCATTAATATACAATTGCTAGTGTCTAGTGAAGTCAAGCTTAGTGGTGAACTCTAGTACCCCAAGTCCTCCCCTCTATATCTTTCTCTACTTTATTAATCATTGAATTTTGTTTACTTTAATTTCATTTGCATAATAGCTTAATCAATCAATCCAACCAATCTTTGATCACTCGACATACTAACCCTATTTATTGTTTCCATTGTAAAGGCACCCACAATCCCTTGGGACGATCCCTACTCACCCAAGCTATATTTTTAGTTAGAGGTAGTTGTGGCTTTTATAAATCTAAAACTTGGCCACATTGCACACTCATACTCTTAGTTCATCTCTTTGCAAACTTTTGGTGTAACCCGACGACACACCTCCAATAACTGCACCAAATTTTTATGTCCTTCAGAATGTTCTGTTCTGCCCATTTCTGACACTGTTGTTGGTGACATGTCTGATTCATGTTTGCTATTGGCGCAGGGGACATTAGCGCAACATTTGATTGACGTATAGCTTCTACATCAACTCCCTTTTACTATCATGATTCACGCAAAATGATACATCAGTTGTTTGCAATTTCAGCAGTAAATTTATTAAAAATTTGGGCCCTATGCATATAATATACACTTACTAGTTTCAACGTGAATGGTTTTTCATATGCGGATGGGGTCATTATTTGTTCACTTGCAAACATGTTACTTAATGGAGTCATGGGTTCTTCAAAATAAGCTGTACGGGGGCTATTATCCTATTCCTGGGGTAGTGTTGAAGGTCCTGCCTTATTAAATTCTTCGGACATGAATATGTGTGATGGAATTTCAGCACCCTTCAAACAATCAAACCATTAACTTAAGTGTTATGATGTACATATAGTTTCGGATATGTCAAACTTAGAAGAACACTCACATTGTGTAAAATATATGAAGGGGTGGTAATACTAGCACTGCAGCCTGCCACTCCGGCAACAATGCCACCATTGGAATTCTATATAACAAGATATGAGGAGTTTGTTGTTTAAAAATTGTATAATGACAACAGAGAAAAAACAATAAACATAACAGAGTAAAACCACACACTTAAAGCTAAATACATACATGATAAGGCTAAGGGTATATACCTCTAAATTACGGTTGTCAGTCTTTTTCTTCTTTCTAGTGGTTTTTTCCAACACAGATATGAACCTACGCCTTCTTCCTTTCGATGTATCTTTGGTGGCAATCCCCTTCGGATTAAATATTGGAATCCTTTGCACAATGTCTTTGGTGGTAGCCGTAGGATTATGTATTGATCCTTGGACAATTTACTTCAAACTACTAAGCTACATCAAAACATTATTGAATCCGTCGTGGCTAAGGGATGTAATGGAAGATATTCTGTGAGCTAACGACAAAGTATTCTGTGCCGTCGTCTCATCTCAAGTCTAGGATCCGTCAACATATCTATGCCAATTAATTCTTCCAACCTGTCATCCTTCGCATTTCTTATCCACCTTTTCAAAACATATCGGCTCGGTATTTTGCTCGTACAGAGCTTATCTCTGAGGACTTGCATTGTATGGCTGCATATGACACCTTCCATTTCAAACTTTCCACAATAATAAGATAAATGGTCGTCTTGTATCCTTATCACTCGCTATATCACCTTCTCATTATATAACACAACTTCATACACATATTCCCTGTTACCATTGTCATTGCTGTTCAGGATATACTAACTCATACAAGCTATTAATAATTGTTCCTAAAAAAGTTCAAATATATTAGAAGTGTACACATGTCCGGCGTGATCTAATATGGGAGATCTTGCTTTCATCCTAGGCATCTTCTGGACCAAATCATATTCAACTTTATATTCCTTGTACCTTTTGTCGTATGACAACGTGTCGAAATGCTTGAAGAAATCTGGAAGTGCATATTGTCTAGATAAGTACTGTTTCAACCCACTGTTAAAGCTTTTACTTAACTGTGTGGTACACATACTAGCAGACCATACATTTTTTACATATGCCTTGGCCCATACATGTTTCAAACGAAACAAGTTAGCGAACCATCTATTATTTTCCACACCAAATTCCATTTCTATCAAAGACCATTCCTGTAAAAACTCATCATGCTCCTTAATGTCAAACATTAATTTGGAGATCACACTTTTTATGCTTTTTCCACCAACAGACATGTTGCCGATATACTTTTGTGTATTAAGCATAAGGTGCCACGTACACAGATGGTGATTTGTGTCAGGCATTACTTTTGTTAATGCCTTTGCCATTGCTGCGTCTTGGTCAGTCAATATTGTCCTCGGCACTTTACGGGACATTACGTTCAAGAATGTATTAAACAACCAAGCAAACCAATCCGCCGTCTTATCATACATGAAAGTGTCACGAAAAACACATGTTTGCCGATGATGGTTCAAACTGAGAAAAACACCCAAAGGCCTGTTACCTTGGACAAGTTTATATGTTATATCAAACGTAACCACATCTCCAAAATGGCCATAATCTGATATCATTTTTGAATCCGCCCAAAATATATTAGTTATCATTGTATCTTTGTCCAGTTGGACAGTATGAGAAAATGATAGATTTTCCCATGATTAAGTTTGGAAATAATTCATGTGCCAACCCATCGCTCCACATTCTAGCTCATTCTGCCTCTTGTCTTAATATAATTTTGTACATCAACCTTGGTGTAGCCAATTGCTTCTATACCTCTAACTTGTTTGGAGCTTAATTCGAAGGCTTTACGAACTGCTATTCCAAAATCACAACCTAACTCCACATAATACCTTGCACTGAGCTGATTTTTCGCTGCGATGGTATCATGTAGGTGTACTGTTGCATGATGAGGGGATGGTTGTGACTTTTTTCAAACTGTCTTACAACAAACTTTGCAAACCCACATCATACTTTACTAACATGCATGCACCACAGTTTGTGCGTGTTTCAGCCCTTGGTTTATTTGTTTTTCTGTCTCTCTTGTCCTTACCTTTTAAACCCTCATTGCTACATACAAACAACCTAGATGTCATTTTTCCATTCTTCTGACTTTTATTTTTGGACTCCTTCCGAATACTAAAACTGACTCTACCACCATAATTATTGTAAAAATCATAAGCCGCATTTTCAGAATCAAACTCCATTTCAAGACATGGTTTCCATTGTATTTCATGTACCTCACAATCTGATTCATTATCTGTTTCGTCAATATTAATAGTTCTATCTTCCATGGCCATAACTTAAATATAAAACTTACAAATGTTAGCATAAGACGTAAGTATTAGCATAGTTCAATTATCACCACCTTACACTAACATGTATCAATAGTTTAATAATATAACATCAAATATTTTACCTAACATCTTCACATCAAACTGATAAAATAATATAATGCATATCCACATATGCATACACTTTTCCAACATGTGGCAGTACTTATTTGAAATTATCATACAAAAAAAAACCTAACATATTTCAACAAAACCTCATAAAGGCAATTCATTTACAGTAGGAATCAAATGAAGTTTTGCACTGAACAGCATATCAACACTTTAATAAATAAATCATCACATCTTTTAACTACCATCTTGACATGAATTTAAGTGATACAGTAATATAATGCATATCCACACTTTCATACACTTTTGCAACATGTGGGAAGCAAATGAACTTTTGAACTGAATAATATAACCTTTTACAAACAGGTGTCAACAGTTTACTGAATAAACCATCACATCTTTTACCTAACATATATTCATACACTTTTCCAACATGTGGCACCACTTATATGAACATGTTATGCAAAATTATTTCTAACATACTTCAAACGACCTCATAAATAAAAATCATTTAAAGTGGGAACCAAAAGAACTTTTGAACTGAACAACATAACCTTTTATAAATAGGTGTCAACATTTTAATAAATACACCATCACATCTTTAACTGGATAGCATAACCTTTTCCAAATAGGTGTCAACAGTTTAATAAATACACCATCACATCTTTAACCTAACATCTTCACCTGATTTTAACAGATAGAATAATATAATATAAGTCCACACATTCATACACTTTTCTAACATGTGCCATATATATGACCATGTCATACAAAATTATTCCTAACATAGTTCAACTGAATGTGATAAAGGCAATTCATTTGAAGTGGGAACCAAATACACTTTTGAACTCAACAACATAACTTTCTACAAACATATGTCAATAGTGTAATGAATAAACTATCACAACTTTTACCTAACATCATGACTTAATTTTCATAAATTGAGTAATATAATGCATGTGCACACATTCATACACTTTTCCAACATGTGGCACCACTTATATGGACATATCACACAAAATTATTCCTAACATACATCAACTGAACCTTATAAAGGTAAATCATTTCAAGTGGGAAGCAAATGCACTTTTGAACTCAACAACAAAACCTTTTACAAACAAGTGTCAACAATGTAGTGAATAAACTATCACAACTTTACCTAAGTTATGACCTGAATTTAACAGATTGAGTAATATAATACACGTGCACAAATTCATACACTTTTCCAATATGTGGCACCACTTATATGGACATGTCATACAAAATTATTCCTAACATACTTCAACTGAACCTCATAAAGGCAAACATTTCAAGTGAGAAGCAAATACACTTTTGAACTTAACAACATAACCTTTTATAAACAGGTGTCAACAATGTAATGAATAAATTATCACAACTTTTACCTAAATCATGACCTGATTTTAACAGATTGAGTAATATAATACATGTGCACACATTTATACACTTTTCCAACATGTAGCACCACTTATATGGACATGTCATACAAAATTATTCCTAACATACTTCAACTAAACCTTATAAAAGCAAATCATTTCAAGTGGGAAGCAAATGCACTTTTGAACTCAACAACATAACCTTTTACATACAGGTGTCAATAATGTAATGAATAAACTATCACAACTTTTACCTAAATCATGACCTGATTTTAATAAATTGAGTAATATAATACATGTGCACAAATTCATATACTTTTCCAACATGTGGCACCACTTATATAGACATGTCATACAAAATTATTCCTAACATGCTTCAACTGAATCTCATAAAGGCAAATCATTTCAAGTGGGAAGCAAATAAATTTTTCAACTAAACAACATAATGTTTTACAAACACGTGTCAACAGTTTAATAAATAAACCATAACATCTTTTAGCTAACATCTGTTCATACACTTTTCCAACATGTGGCACCACTTATATAAACATGTCATAAAAAATTATTTCTCAAATACTTCAACTGAAACTCATAGTGGCATTTAAAGTGGGAATCAAATGAATTTTACAACTGAACAACATAACCTTTTACAAACAGGTGTCAACAGTTTAATAAAAAAATATCACATCTTTTACTTAATATCTATTCATACACTTTTCTAATATGTGGCACCACTTATATGACGATATCATACAAAATTATTCCTAACATACTTCAACTGAATCTCATAAAGGAAAATCATTTAAGGTGGGAAGCAAATGAACTTCTGAAGTGGAGAACATAACCTTTTATAAATAGGTGTCAATAGTTTAATAAATAAAACATCACATCTTTAACCTAACATCTTCACCTGATTTTAACAGATAGAGTAATATAATGCATGTCCACACATTCATACACTTTTCCAACATGTGGAACCACTAATATGAACATGTCATACAAAATATATCACACTCACAATTGCTATAATCACAAATTCAATTACTATAATCACATGTAAAATAGGGTTATAAATTACATGTAAACACATATCTACATTACGATAAATATTATCACAACTCACATTATTTTGTTGTGTCCTAATTTATTGAATCAAAATTAATTCAGACGTTATTTCAAAAACCAAATATAAAACAAATACCCTAATACATCACAATTTCAATTAGTATAATCAGATGTAAAATAGACTTATAAATTATATGTAAACAAATATGTTCACTGCAAAAAATATTATTACACTCACACTGTTTTCTTATGTCTTCATTTATTGAATCGTATATAATTTAAGGGTTTTATATTTCATAAACCAAATATAAAACCAAATTAGTAATATATCACAAATTCAATGATTATACCATGTAAATAAAACTATAGACTCTGCAAATTTAAGATACATATGCAGAACAACAAATAAAGTAAAATTTAGCTTCACTAAAATTAAAAAAAATGCAGAAAAACAAACAAACCAAATTCTTGTACAAATATATATGCTTCTTTGAAGACGGACAACGTATACAAAGCTTGGTCATTTACCGAATTCTTGATCAGCAGAGAGAGACTTGAATTTCAGAGGGAGGCAGACCTGAACGAAGTTTCAATTTTAGAGGGAGAGTTGAATTTCAGAGGAAGAGAGACATGAACGAAGCTTGGTCTTTGGCCGGATTCTTCAGACTTCAATTTCAGAGTGAAAAACACCTGAACGAAGCTCGGAAGCTTCAATTTCAGAGGGAGAGTTAAATTTTAGAGGAAGAGAGACGTCAACGAAGCTTGGTCTTTGGCCAGATTCTTCACACTTCAATTTCAGAGGGAGAAACACCTGAACGAAGCTTGGTCATTTGCTGAATAGACAGATCGACGGAGACAGACCATTTTAAAAGTTTCACCTTCAGTCGTCAGTCATTGGATTCTTCATAATGATATAAAATTTCAGACATAAATAATGATACAAAATTTATGAATAAACATTTTACTTTTGGGAAAACAGAGAGAGATAGACCTGAACGAAGCTTCAATTTCAGACGGAGAGTTGAATTTCAGAGGAAGAGAGACGTGAATGAAGTGTCTTTCGTTAGATTCTTCAGACTTTAATTTCATAGGGACAAACACCTGTACGAACCTTGGTCATTCGCTAGATAGACAGACCGAGGGAGAAAGACCATTTCAAAAGCTTCACCTTTGGCCATATTGTTGATTAGCTGCTGGAATATTAGTCAGTCACCAGATTCTTCATGACTTCAATTTCAGAGGGAGAGGGTAGAATTTCAGACACAAATAAGATACAAAATATGAGAATAAACATTTTAGTTTTGGGGGGAATAACATCTGAGAATTTAGGGGGAAAAACAGAAACCTTTTTGGAGGGAAATTTAACCTCGTATTTGTACACAACTGTATAAACCTCTTATACACATACATACGTAGTTTTATATACATAAGTAAAGTAAATACTTTTTTTACCAACCTGCCATGTCACGCCTCCATGTTAGCAATGGAAACCCTCCAGTGAAAGGGTGTCCGGAAAGGATTTTTCCCCCTCTACTCTCTACTCTTTTAGGTTTTTAAAGAAAATCTTAATTGTACAATACAAGAGTGTATAATCATTTGGTTTGGTGGTGCAAGTCTCAGTTTTACAAAGGCTTGGTGCTTAATGTCAAGTAAGGCTTAAAAAAATATATGTGAGTGCCCTAGGTGGGACCAAAGACAGATAATTAGAGGACAAGCTTCCTTTTTTAATGCATGTATGCAGTTTTAAGAAATGATCAACGCCTTCTAAAAATAGAGCTGGTTACGGTGCATGTTGCTATACCCTTTGGATATTCTCTCTGATTTCCCATCACTTTTTCTATGGTCTTCCTGTGTAGCCAACTCGGTTGAGTTGACTCAATGAAAGATCTTCTAAATCACCTCTTGGGAGCTTTTGTAGCAACTCATTGAGTCCAGTCTTGGTTTGGAACTCACACTTAAAGTTCAGCAATTCAAAAGTTATACGGTTACCACTAAAGGTACGGCGCCATACTGTCGACAACCACGGATATACGTCATGCTCTATTATGATTGAACAAGTCTGCTTGAACCAATTGGTTTGGTAGTACTTTTTGTATTCTGAACCACTTTGACAATTTGTGGTTTATATATTATGCGTGTGAACAAATAGAATCCTTATTTGATGAGGTACAATTAATTGATCCGCTATGTATATTTGATGAACAATCATAAAAAAAAAAAAAAAAAAAAAAATGACTGGATGGCTTTTTGTCTTCAAAATATTTGTATTTTAGCGGACGTTGATGCCGCAGAATTCACTTTGTAAATAATTGTGTCTCGTCAGAGCAATCGCCTCACATTGGATGGAACAGAAAAAGGAGAATAGGACACTGAAATAGATGTACTACTCCAATGATAAATTTATTATTTTTTTAATCAAATTTATTTGGTATTAGTAAA